TTCTTCTTCTTCCTTTCCTTTCGCCTTTTGCAAACCCTAATACATTCTAATATTAAATCCGAAGATAACACAAGCATAAAACCCAAAATCTTCCAAAATAGTCATCAACTCTAAATTCTTTCTCTCAACCTGCCAAAAAAAATCAATGCATCTTCTCTCAAAATTCTTTTAAAAAAAAAACTAAAGCATCTTTTGAGTCTTTCGAACCCAACAATCTATTGGGTCCGACTGTTGGGTTCCAAACCCCCAACAAATCAACAAATCGTTGAGTTCGAGAACCTAGTAGATCAGTAGATCGTTGGGTTCGACCTCTGCATTATGGTAAGAATTTCTCCAATTATAAGTACCCATATGCAATTTTCTTCCCTCATAACCAATTTTTGCCAAATTCTCAATGAGAACATCCCAAACAAAATATCCATTAGCAAAATAGTTAGCTGCAACCCAAAAATATCCCTAAAATTCAAGCTTCTAAACATAAGGAGCAAAAAAAATAATAATAATAAACCTAGCAAATCACTGGGTTTGACCCAGCATATCACTGGGTTCTTAAGGACCCAGCAGATCGTTGGGTTCTATCAAACCCACCCGACATATCTATATTGTTTCGAAAAGGAGATGATTAAAACCCAAGTCGGCAAACAAGGATCTAAGGGGAAGAAGATGAACAACAAGAGAGGTTGGAGATGAAAGGCAAGGGGTAATGAAAGGAGAAAGTGAAGAAAGTGATGTATGGTTAAAGATGAGGGTAAAAACATAATTTTATTTTTATAATTAGCTTTATAATTTAACCTTTAATTTTTGGTTGAAAATTACATGTAAAGTATTTTTTATCACATTGTCAGTCCTACGTGTCAAGATACTTTAACACGTCATCTTTTTTCGTCAAATAACGGGACACATGAGCAAATATTTAACGAAAAAACCAAGTTAAGGTTAAAATGGTAAATAGTATGGATTAAATCAAGGATTTTTTAAGTTGAGGGACTCAATCAAAGGTCTGTACAATAGTTGAAGGATCCAAATGGAGGTTAACCTATTTATTTTAATCACACAATGAGATGAAATCTTCTCATTTTTTATTTTACCTCATTTATATACTATGCTACCTCATCTAATGCATTACACAATTTAAATTCGAAATATTATACTTTTAACAAATATATATATATATATAAAACTGAAAACATTGTACAGTCTCAATGAGATCAATCTTAACATCTCTATTTTAACGTTGAAAACAGTCTAGACTGTGCACCCATTTTTGTTGATGTACCTTTTTGTTTCTTTGTTGTACCTTTTTGTTTTTTTGTATAGATCACTCGGTATCCAAAAATTTATTGGTTCACTGATTAATCCAGATTTGAACTGAGCAGTACCTAATAGACGACAAAGCTCTTCTTCTCGAGTTTTAATGGAATTGTATTCTCAAGACTTAAAATCCAGAGTTCTGATTAAATTAGAAGAGTCCGTTACTAAGTCATCCACTCGCTCGTGAGTGCTAGATGTACCTTTCTAAATTGTAATTCTGTTCACAGTTGCTTATGGGCCTGAGATTCGGTTAGCATTGGACATTTGGACTATCTCGGTAGGTCCAAGTTTCTAACCTTACGTTTTATTTATATAAATCAACGGATTGTAGCAAAATTTTCGTTAAAATTTTGGGAAGAATAAAAATCTTTATTATTTTTTATTAAAAGAACCTACTAAAAAAAAAAAGAACCTACTCAAAAGATTCTACTCAAATTTAATAAAAATCCTTATTTTAAGGCTCTTATTTTATCGTTTAGAGTGTAAAATTTTTTCTTCGATCGTCATCGTATAGAGTGCAAAATAATTACAATTTTGACTTAATAATACATTATTTTTAATTTTTTAATTTATAATCTTACCACATAAGTTAAATTTTATTTATTATATATTTATAATTAATTTTATATAAATTTTTATATAAAAATTAAA